AAAACAGCCCAACGCCACCTGTGGGTCTTCAACACAGCGAGAAAATCCCCCCACCCGAAGGCGGGCTTCAGCTGGCCCTAAACAAAAATGTTTACTAGCTCAGTGAAAATGGACTTCACACTAAACTTTGAAACATATAAATGAACTAGAATTAAAAAACATACAAGACTAACAAAGGCCAGAGGGACTTGGGACAGGCGCAAAAATGCGGCGGGGTTAACCCTCAACCCTCTCTCTATACATCTAGCCAATGTAGAATAACCAAACATACAGCAATACGCACAGTAAAACTCAGTTTAAAAGAAGTCTGAACCCGATATCAGAATAGGTATCAGAAGAAACTAAGCAAAATGACAATGATACATAAATCAGGACTACTAGCAGTTACTGACAAGCCAGCTCCAGACCTCAATTAAACTGATTGAAAGATTATGTCTTCATCATATTGAAATTCAAGCACAATCCCTCCCGTTAGGGGTTTAGAATCATACCATCATTAAATATACGAGAAAAGCATAGCCCGTATCATGCCAACAACTGGTTTTAGAATAAGTGATTATTTCCGATGCAAAGACCCTATGAGTGAATCAATATTATTCCAAAATATGCCATCTTTAATGTCCTGACAACAGTATCGTAATAATATCCCTTCTGAATAAGTCTGTTTAAATGTTTGGTTAGCTTTTGAGGTGAATGACGACATTTTTGTGCTTTGTATAGAATATTACCACAATAGGTTGGATGTGAAATACCTGAACGTATAAGATGTCTGCATGTTGATTTATATTTACGAATGATGTTCCTGTACCGATGATGAAATTTAGTAAATGTTTTGACTAGTTTGTGATATCGAAAACCCAGGTGTTATAATTTTTCAGTAATACAGAGATTTCTTTCGTTAAAATCAAATACGTTGTTACATACACGAGCGAATCGAACAAGTTGAGATATATAAACACCATAAGATGGTGACAAGGGAACGTCACCATCTAAAAATGGATAATTAAGAATAGGAAATGAAAAATCATCTCTTTTATCGTAAATTTTGGTATTCAGCTTCCCGTTAAAGATATAGATATCAAGATCCAGGAAAGGGCATTGGTATTGTTAGTATTAGCTTTATTTAAAGTCAGTTCAGCAGGATACATCTCTTTAGTGTACATACTGGAGTCGTCATTATTGAGAACCAGTATATCATCCAAATATCTAAAAGTGTTATTAACTTTTTGTATCAGATGTTGATTCGATGGGTCTTTGCTGATTTTTGTCATAAATTATAACTCATAACAATACAGAAACAGGTCAGCAATAAGTGGTGCACAGTTAGTCTTATGTTTGTTACAGGTGTCATTTTCCGAAAATGGAGTCAGTTGGAATGTTGGTGAATTCGTGATTTCCTTTAGCAGAACCTCAATGTAAAATTTATGTCAAACAATAATGATATTATTAAGCCTTATCAGCCGGGACAAGAATAAATTCCTTGACGAGTTCTTTTAGCTTATGTTTGATACGAGAAATAGGGCTATTATGGCTGTTGTTAGGAGTAAAATGTTCTTTAAAATGTTTAATACGAATATCAACTATGTTCTTTACGGAATTAAAAAAAGAATCTAAGGATTTTTTGTCAGCTTTTTCTCAGTTTATCCATTTCATACAGTATACAGGATGATGTTACGACACTCATTCAAATTAATAATTGACAGAGGGCGATATTTAGGTCCTTTACTGAGGAAAAGTCTGAAAGAAATCCGCCTCAAAAGAAAATAAAACACATAACAGAATCGAAGTAGGACCAGATGTGTCCTTGCATCACTTGCCATCAGAAAACTTCTATCGTTTTAGTATCAAAGATACGAGGTTTATAATTGGTATTCCATTCGAGCGGATCGTCGTCAAACGAGTCACTAGTGGCGCTCAATTCAAAACATTTGGAAATACAAATCAATTCGAAATTTTGAAAAATACATTCTAACCAAAGCTAAAAACATAATGAAACCGGTAAAAACGTCAAATGGATAATGGTGGACAATTTGAATCTATTTCAGAGTAAATATGTGTCATGTACATTTCTTTCAATTGCGGAACAGAGAAACATAGGTGCAGTAGCGATTAATAAATAGGTTAAGGCACTTAAACATTGTTAGATGTGAGGCGGAAAATACCGAGAGATATTCAAAACTCATAAGTCGAATAAAAACTGACAACACCATGGCATAAAAACTAAAATGACGAAAAGACGAAAAAGTCAACAAAAACATACACTAAAAACTAAAGGTTGAACAACGCCAACCTAACCAAAAATCGGGGTTGAATTCAGGTGCTCCGGAAAGGTTAGCAGTTTGTAATCCACATGTGGCACCCGTCGTGTTGCGCATGCATGTACAAATCCGGTGATAAGTCTGGTTCGGTGATGTCACAACAGAGGAAAAGAGGGTGGATTGCGGTTACGACAATTGGAACATATCCGTCGTCATCTATGACAAAGCTATTCCATAACGATCAACCAAATCGTTATGGCGTCCGTAAAACTTTCGAAGGAATAGATTCAACCTTACAAAATTCCTTTTTAGCAGAAAATCTACATTTACTAGCGACCCCCCTTTACTCATATAGCAAAATTTTAAAAGTAACGCATATGGATGAACAAGAGCAATGACAATATCTTTTTAATATAGCTATATGATTAAACTTCTGACGTGTACTTCAAAATTGGTCATACAGATTAGACAATTTAGTTTAGGTATTCCATACCTAGATACCAGTGGCGGATCCAGAAATTTTCATAAGTGCGGGCCCACTGACTGCCTAAGAGGGGGCCCGCTCCGGTCATGCTTCAGTGATTCTCTATATAATCAACCAATTTTTTCCCAGAAAAGGGGGGCCCGGGCACCCCTGGGTCCCCCCCCCCCCCTAAATCCGCCTCTGGATACAAAACACATGGATATTGCCCTGTGTGGATATAAAACACATGGATATTGCCCTGTGTGGATATAAAACACATGGATATTGCCCTGTGTGGATATAAAACACATGGATATCGCCCTGTGTGGATACAAAACACATGGATATTGCCCTGTGTGGATACAAAACACATGGATATTGCCCTGTGTGGATATAAAACACTTCTTTATTCTTGTCCAAGTCCACGCCCTAATACCCACTTACCAAATATCATAATATTAAGAAATCAATGTTTCCGGGGGAAAATTGCAAAGTTCAGCACAATACTAAGTTATTACATAAATCAATTGATGCAAAATGTGTTATCTATCGTTGATTTATAATATTCCTCCTTTTTATGATTTTAATCCCTGATTTTGGTACCTTCTGATTTTTTATAACACCAATGAATATTAGTCAAAACCCAAAACATATCTGTAGAGACTTAAATATAATATACTAAAACTATTTTCAAATGCATTCTTCAATTATATTTGAGTACTCACCAAGAAATTGCATGACCAATCAATCAAGGGATCTTTGAACAAACTGAAAGGTTTATTTTCAAACATGGAATTTTGATTACAAGTAGTCAAGAAAATTATGTAAGACATAAATATTTTTAACGTGTAGGAGTACATATATGTCAAAGATATAAAGTAGTCAAGGTTACCATTTGTATACTAGTATGAAATGGAAAGATAATAAAGGTACTTATTCGCTTGAAAGCAATTTTGTTATGAATGATGTAGTTTCAGTTATTTGTATCCCTGGTTACCAGGACCATAATCTTTTTTTATCACAGGCTCCAAATTGGGATAGGCATATATAGTATGTTGCATGGTTAAATATTATTGCGGGCTCCCAATCATCCCCCGCACCTGGGAAAGTGGTGTGACAGCACAACATAAGTTTTTATTTATTTGTTGTAATTAGCCTTCAATTAATTTTCTTTAACTGCAAGTATTTTTATATCGGTAATTTGTGTCTTATTTGCGCTTCATTTCTGGTGAGCCAAACCCTTACCAACTGATTTTAGTCTTGTTCTTATTTTGTGCTGTTACGTTTCTACTGCAGTGTTAGAGGAGGAATGCACGTTTACAAACACGTTAAGCCCCATCCCCTTCTGTACTTGCCTATCCCATGTCAGAAGCTTTCTTGTCGTTGTTTGCAGTCTGTCATATTTGTTTTTCGTTTATGATTTTAGCATGAATTAAGTCGTTTGTTTTCTCCTTTGAATTATTTTACATTTTGTCATGTCTTTTATAGCGTACTATAACTATATGACTATGGGTAAAGCTCGTTTTTTGAAGGCCGTACGGTGACCTAGGATTTCTTGCATCCATGTAATTTGGTCTCTGGTAAGCGGACAGTTGACTTATTGGTAAATATATGACTCTCCTTATTTCTTATATTATGTATTTGTATTACTGCCCACTCGATAGGAAAATTAAATTGATATCATGATATACAAATTTGGCATATATCTCACAATATTGTTGCCTATATGTGTGATTTTTCGGAAATATCTAAATTTAAGCTGGCGTTCCTAGGGTGTCTTTTTAAATAATATTTAAGCTATAGGACACAATATTATTATCTTTAGTGAAAATAAAGTTCTTTTCTTGCTGTTTGTCTTCTTGTCTTTTAGAAAAAAAATCTTGAATTCTACTTCATCGGAATAAAAAGCGAGTAGACTACAAAATGCCCGTCTATATGCTTGAATATCAATTCATCTGTTTTTTAATGTTTCTATTGAACTAAGGGGTGTTTCATTACCCTGACTTACAACCAGGAGTCGGTTTCACAAAAAAAACTTACGACTAAGATTAATCGTAAGGCATGAACAATTCAGTATACTTACGACCAATCTTAGTCGTAAGTTTTTTTTGTGAAACCGACTACTTGATCTAGCACAACGGATGCCTAGTCTAAGTATCTTTAAGGTTTTCCGGTAGTCGACAATCAAATAACAGCAATAAAAACAGATGAAATCAAAAAATTAAATAGCATCAAAATACACAGAGGCAAAGTTTGATAATATATATTTTTTTATTTAAGTCACATATCTCAGCTACAAGTATCTGAAATAAAAGAAAATAGTTAAATGTGAATCAAATCGCAATGACTTTAATATATTAGCAATATATTAATATGATATACACATGAACATATGAATACGTATGTTCTCTTAGATAAATATAAAAATAAGAAAATGTAGTATGATTGCCAGTTAGACTGGTATTCGCCAAAGATCTAGACTAAATAAAGGGATATTGAAATTAAAGGAGGACAGCTTTCTTACAAGCTGATAAACCATAACTTTGAAAAAAATAAAGGAGAAGAAGCGCATATGTTTATACATGACTGTATGACAACGTCGAAGTGGTATGCGCAGATTCATATAGACCAATGTGATATATTTTCATACTAAAACGTACTTCAAAAGAAATTTAAATGACCGATTCGTTTTCGAACGTTTTCGAGCTTCTAGTACGATGGAAGATCCCTTCTAGCATTTATTAAGAGTATGTTCCTTTTGGGACTTTTTAGGGGTGCATTTTTGAGTCAACGTTTCATTATTATCGCCTCGATATATTTTTTTATTATTCTGAAGGAGTGAAACATAGAAATCATGGACACAAACTTTACATGCACGTTAGTTAATTCTTCACTTTTCAGTTACAAAAAATACAATTTTTATAAAATACTACATATATCTTTCTAACAGTACAGCACGGGTTGCAAGAACTGGTTATAACAGGTTAGGGACAATCACCTTAAGGGTCATAATTATCCATTCGTCATAATAACCATTAAGGTATTATAGATGAAAATTTTCAGTGCTAAGATTTTAATTTTTTGAATTTAGCAAAACTATTGAAAACAAAACTTTATGACAAAAGAGATGATTTCAGCTTCCCAATTGTGAACTTTCCATTTTATGTAGCAACATTCCAGCAGCGCCTGCATACGGAGTATATATCTCCTAGTTGATACGATTCTCGAGTGCTTGTATTTCCTATCATGATTTCCTCGATAGAGGGTTGCTACTCACAAGGAAGCTATTGAACCAAGAGTCCTAAGTGGTGAAGTTGAAATCACCCCTTCGTAAATTTTACAGACGCAATCACGAGTTGGTTGACCGTTACGGAATATCCGTTTCGGAGATGATAGCGGATATGTTCCTTATGTCGTAACTACAATCTCGTCCCCTTTTTCCCGAATGTGACCTACCGAATTAGACTTAATACCGGGGTTGTACTAACATGAGTAACACGACGGTGCCACATGTGGATCAGGATCTGCTTACCCTTCCGGAGCACCTGAGATCACCCCAAATTTTTGGTGGGGTTCGTGTTGCTCAGTCTTTAGTTTCTATGTTGTGTTTTGTGTACTATTGTTTGTCTGTTTTTCTGTTGGTCTTTTTCTTTTTTAGCAATGGCGTTGTCGGTTTGTTTTCGACTTTAAGAGTTTGAATGTCCCTTTGGTATCTTTCGCCTCTCTCTTGAACAGTGCATTTGTTTAGGTCATTAGTAGCAACTTTTGGTTAGCAACTTTTCCAGAAAATGAATAAGTTGCTAGAGTGATCCCTCTGAAAACATAATCTTCCAAGTGATCAAACTCATAAACAACCAGGTATTCATAAAGTTGCCTAACCAAAAGATGTTGCCTTTTATATGACTTTTTGCGCTTTGTAATATTTTCCCTTGAATCCAAAAAATGTGTTTTGCAAGTAAATGTATAACCCATTTGGGCGATTTCCCCCAAACCTGTTTAATTGATCTACTACCAGTAACACATATGCAATGGATTATATATGTATTAAACATATGTTAAAATCTCTATTTGCACACACATTTAACACGCATATTAACAAACCATTAAAAACAACAGCTAGCTCTATTTTCAATATGCAGGATACATGGTTTTGGGATATGTTTAAGAGATTTTTTTTGATAAAAATACACTTATGTTCGGCTAGCAGCGAAAGAAAGAATAATAAATTCTCACTAAATAGAAAACTGACCTTGACATGGACAAACAAAGTTAAGATTGACATCATCTAAGGCAATATCTCCCGTGTAGCCATCCCCTGTTTCTGCCTCGAACACAATCTACAAAATATCAAAATGTATTGGAAAATAAAAAATCAAAGATCAAAGAGCTTTGATATCTGTTCAGCTTATATTAATGCGGATGAACGCAATTTAAATGCAAACGAAAGGACAATTTGAAAGTAATAAAGAACTTTTTTCTGGTTACACCTTTGTTAAATGCCGTATATATTAAACTTACATTTATTGGTTTAGAATCCGGTAGAAGAATACATTTTTGTTTCCACGATTGTCCTTGATTTCCAGAGATTGTACATATAGCGCTATCTAACTGTTCACTTCCTGTTGAGTTGTTACCGGTATAAATTGTTAAGTTTCCCACAGTCATGCCGTACATGTTGTACCAGAACGACAAGCACTGACCATTTGTTGGTGTGATCAACGGTGTCCATAATCTAACATACAAAATATCGAATACGATTAAGGTTATGTGAGCTTACATATATTACTGACAGATTTTCATATAACTGGAGTATAAAAGCGTGTTAGTTGCAATAGATCTCGATCATTTTATTTCATCTGAGTCTGAAAACTCAGAAGTTATAAATTAATCGTGTAATGAACATGATGAATTATAAATGATACTAAATAGTTCTATTAAATAATGGATTTATTTATGTTTGGATTATTAAAACACTCTTAAGGTGTTTTAATTGATTTATGTGCTTTTGATGGTGCTTTCAATTCTGTTGTGAGTTATGACTTTTCGACTCAATACACTACAATTCGACAAATCTTATCTTCTCAAAGCAAGCTTTCTTATTTAATTAAATAGTCCTTTGAAATAACACTTACCATTTACCTTGATGATATGTTTGCTTTTTTAATCATCAAGGAATATGAAAATTATACTCCGGATATTTACCAAAGGGAACTGACAATACATAACTTTATTTCTCTAATTCTTACCCGATTTATCCTTTTCCTGACCCATTTATTATTTTTATTTAATCAACGTGTGGTTCGTTTCATCTCAGCTTTTCATTGGTCAAACTTCTATTATGACGTCAAGTTTTCTTGATTTTATCTTAAATTCCTATTGTGACGTCATGAAAAAGGCGATCATGCCTGATGACGTCACATATAAAGAACACATCTTTTTGCAGAACATTCGAAACGAAGGATTAAGTTTGTCTGCATATCGTCTTAAAATCATTAGAGGAGAAACTGATTCCAGCACCATATCTCGTGCAATACGATATTTGACCACTCTCGCTGGTTAAATTTTGAATATTTAACTGTCTCGAGTGGATAAATATCGTATTACACTCGATGCAGTGGTAGAATCTATATATAAACAATAATTGTCCTTTTTTTTTTAAATTGTATATTTCAGTTAAACAGAAGAAATTATATACAAAAATTAACGACAAAAGAGACAATTTTTCGTCCTTATACATTTCAAGGGTTGACTGAAGTATAGAAATGTGGTCATCCCTGGACTTCTCACGTTCGGGCAGTTTAACCCTGGCTAAAGTTGGGTGTCCGTTTGGCTGGAGGGATGTTTAAATACGAAGCCATGTACGATCGGAATGGGGACGTTAAATCCGATACCTCCTGTAGGGAGAGTTCCACGCTTTTTGCACGTTGAAAAACCCATAGAGCATCCCTCCGGGGGGAGGGGGGTACATAGGTGACCTGTTTCATGGAAAACTTTCTATTTCTATTCAACATACCCTCATTTCCAGTGACAGTCCACATAACCCGCCTTTCATCCCGGTCAACCTATTGTATTAATTGTTAATTTGTTCTCGTCCTGAATATGCATGAAATATTAATATATAGATATAGAAAGATGTGGTATGAGTGCCAATGAGACAACTCTCCATCCAAGTTACAATTTATTAAAGTAAACCATTATAGGTCAAGGTACGTAATGTTAAGCAATCAACGATCAATCAATCGTTCTTCATACTAGTAGATGATTTTACCTATAGAAATTCAAACCTTAATTCAAACGAGACATCACTTTCTAATTTTACCGTAATGTTGGTTATAGAACCCGTAAATTTTAGATACGATCTATGTTAAATTACTGATCCTTTCAATAACCTTTTTCTTATAGGTTATCAGTTTAACCCTGCAGTAAGATCTTTGAATATTGTCTTTATCGGTACTAACATTGATTTTGTTTTTTATTAATCAAAACATAACTTAAAATGTATTGCTATACAGTTATGAACACTTATGGTCCTACATCCTGTACAGACTTATATTTAGGCATTGCACAAGGTCGTGCTTTTCAAAGACTGTTTATGACCGTAGACATCTTAAAATAAAACTCGTTGGATGTGTACTGATTGATATTATAGTTTTGGAAAACATGATTTACATTTACTTATTTTTTGTAATTAGCTTTAAACTAGCTTTTAGTAACTTCGAGTACTCTAAGATTCGTGATTCGTGCCAATCTGATATAAGTTCAGATAATTTCAGCCCTCTCCAATTGATTGTTACAGTATTTTCATATGTTGTGCTGTTACACCACTGTTTAAGTTTAAAAGGAGTTTGGTTGCTATCTACCATATTTTTCATCTGTTATTGTCTTTACTTAAATCAGACCGAGTGTTTTCCTCATTGTATCATGCCAGAGGTTTTATTTATAGCTTACTGTGCAGTATTGATTTTTCTCATTGTTGAAGGCCGTACGGTTACATAAAGTTTCTTATATCCACATTATACTGTCCCTGGTGGATAGTTTTCTCATTGGCGATCATACCACATCTCTTTTAATTTTCTTTTATCATTTTAAAAGTATATAATACCTTGCTATTTCTCCTTTCTTTATTGAATTTGATGATTCTAGGTACACATAATGGCCTCTGGAAGTATTATAGGTATGGTCCGCAATTGGTCCGGTATTTAGAGAATTGGTCCTACCCGAATGTCTTAACCAATCATGTTCTTCCCCTGACTCCTGCCGGTAGTGACAGATACTAGTGTTTTCAAAGGCACAATTAATAGGCGATTCCACAATAGTAGGACTGGTTGATACTGGAGGTAGTGTTACTTAAAAGGAAGAGTGTACAGTGACAGATTAAAGGGAATGCGAATTTATCCTTTATTTCTTCAAAAAATTAGTCATATTCTTATGAGTCTACATTTGTTCACTCTATTATTCCTGACATTTCTAATGTGGTCCAAATTTTATATAAATGTATGTCACAAAGAAGTTTGATATCAAACAATTTTAAGATTTTTTGGGAAAAATAGTCAACTGTGTAACGTTCAATCATGGAATAAGCTATATACATCGTTCTGTTGGAATTTCGTAATCGTATGACATCGTTTACAACTGCAGATAACATTCATTTCGCTGGTTTTTACAATATTGGAAACAAATTTATTTTCGCGAGTAATTTCTTGATAGGTCTATAAATCGTCACGTACATGTCAAACTCGAATATTATCTTATATAAATACAATGACCAAAATTATAAGGTACTCTGTATTCGCGAAAATAAGTTGAATTTAAAGTATTAGATACATATAATGACTATTTAATTAAAGTGTACAATTTTAACTAAATTGATATTGGAAAATATGTTCTTGGCACTAGAGCCTGACATTTTCCATGTACATATATTCATTGAAGATCGTACATTGACCTCAGTATTTTTTTATCGTGATTTGTGTGTTGTTCTGCTAATTTTCACTGACCTAAAATATAGTATCTGTATAAAAGCAGTTTTTGAAATATTTAGGTAGAATTATATCTGGAAACAATTTTTGCAGTAGTTTCCTCATAGGTGTCATGGCTTGTATATAAAAAATTTACGAAACACCCGCTCTAACATATCATATCAAGTTTCAGTTATAAATCGAAATATAAAGAAGACCTCGTCGTATCTGTTGTGGTTTTATCTCTCCTTAGTCTTGAGAAACAGTTCGTATTCTATCACATTCCATCATGGTTAGAGTATTCATGTGATCTGATGGTAAATGAATTTTGCAATATCTTGCAGCTCGACAAAAAGACAGCTGCCGATCCGCTATGGCCTGAAGCAATTATCTAACTATTACTAACTATCACTTACTGTATCATAACAAAGGCAACGCGATGGGTGTCACTTGTGAAGAAGGATATCACCCTTTCGGAACACCGGAGATCACTGCCGATTTTTTTGGTTGAATTCGTATTGCTAATATTTAGTTTTCTATGTTGTGTTTTGTGGAATCACCCTTTCGGAACACTGGAGATCACTCCCGATTTTGTTGGTTGAGTTCGTATTGCTAATATTCAGTTTTCTATGTTGTGTTTTGTGGACTTGCTAGGTTTATAGAATCTGTTTTATAATTATATATTACCCGTAGTGGTTGGTAGTGTAGATGTAGCCTCGGATGCCTGAGATGTTATTGTAAATGTAATTGAAGGCGGTGTTGTACTATCTGTTTTATAATTATATATTACCCGTAGTGGTTGGTAGTGTAGATGTAGCCTCGGATGCCTGAGGTGTTATTGTAAATGTAATGGAAGGCGGTGTTGTACTATCTGTTTTATAATTATATATTACCCGTAGTGGTTGGTAGTGTAGATGTAGCCTCGGATGCCTGAGGTGTTATTGTAAATGTAATGGAAGGCGGTGTTGTACTATCTGTTTTATAATTATATATTACCCGTAGTGGTTGGTAGTGTAGATGTAGCCTCGGATGCCTGAGATGTTATTGTAAATGTAATTGAAGGCGGTGTTGTACTATCTGTTTTATAATTATATATTACCCGTAGTGGTTGGTAGTGTAGATGTAGCCTCGGATGCCTGAGGTGTTATTGTAAATGTAATGGAAGGCGGTGTTGTACTATCTGTTTTATAATTATATATTACCCGTAGTGGTTGGTAGTGTAGATGTAGCCTCGGATGCCTGAGGTGTTATTGTAAATGTAATGGAAGGCGGTGTTGTACTATCTGTTTTATAATTATATATTACCCGTAGTGGTTGGTAGTGTAGATGTAGCCTCGGATGCCTGAGATGTTATTGTAATTGAAGGTGGTGTTGTACTATCTGTTTGATATTCTGTTGACAGAGGAGCGATTGTTGAAGGCCCCGGGGTAGGGATACTGTCCGGACAGGGACATGCATCCATCAGTTGTATATCATCAATGGCTATGTCTCCTGTGTAGCCGTCCCCAGCAATTCCTTCAAATATTACCTAAATTAACAGAATTCAATTTCTTTACGTTTCTATTTGCATATCATCTTAATATCTCATATGTCACGAACCACGAAATGAAAGATAAAATGTTTTCTTTCCACAATATGATGTGGGGTTGTTGTCTCATAGCTCAAATCTCCTATTAAAATATGTTTATAAGCCCTGGCTGAATTAAGGGCATACGATACAGTTACAGGGGAAGTAATGACCTTTTATAGCCGACTATACGATATGGGTTTTTCTCATTGTTGAAGGCTGTACGGTTGCCTTCACTTTATTTGAACTTTGGTGGATAGTTGTCTCGTTAGTAATCATACCATATCTCCTGATTTTTATATTGCTAGCGTAATATGTTATTTTTCACGTCGTCAAACTGGAAAAGATGCATTTTAGACTGATTTTTATCATTCAGACTGATTTAAGTTGAAAACGAGTTCATTAACCCCTCTTTTTGAATATGACATTTGGCTTGATTATGTGTGAAGATTATTTGTGCCATTTTTTATGAACATATCGACCATGTATTTTTTTTTTTTAAATTAGATAAATATACAGCAGAAAATGCCGTTCTTTGACTAAAATCATGAAAATGGGATACAAGCGAACAATTTACAAAGAATTGATACACAAATTCAAAGCTCACTTATGTAGAGAAGATATTCCAGATGCTTTTACAAAAATCCGCTTGCGTTTATCTTTTGAAACAAAAATGGTAAGTATGTCTTTCCAAAAGATAGAAATGTCCATGAAACCGAAATTTTCAGTAAATGTCCAAAATTTCGACCCCATTTACCTCTAAAAGTAGCACATGAAGGTATATTTTGTATAACATATTTGAACTGACTAGGTGAAAAATAGCTTGTACGCAAACTCTCGTCAATAATTCACCGTGGGATCAAAACTGTATCGTATGCCCTTTAGATAGATATAAGAAGATGTGGTATGAGTGCCAATGAGACAACTCTCCATCCAAGTCAAAATTTATAAAAGTAAACCATTATAGGTCACAGTACGGAAAGGACATGGAAAGGTCTGCAAAAAGTAAAATCACAAAAATACTAAACTCCGAGGAAAATTCAAAAAGGAAAGTCCCCAATCAAATGGCAAAATCAAAAGCTCAAACACATCGAACGAATGGATAACAACTGTCATATTCCTGACTTGGTACAGGCATTTTCTTATGTAGAAAATGGTGGATTGAACCTGGTTTTATAGCTAGCTAAACCTCTCACTTGTATGAAAGTCGTATCAAATTCCATTATATTGACAACGATGCGTGAACAAAACAAACAGACACAATAGGTAAAAATGTCAAAAATAGGGGTACAGCAGTCAACATTGTGTTATCATCTTAATCACTATAAAAACAAACAAATGTAACAAAGAAGCAAAAAAAAGGCATACATCAAATTTAACATCCTCATTTTGCTTTATTATTATACGATTATATTTATCTATGTAAAATCCACCCATAAAGGATGGAAGGTTTTAATTACTGGCGTAAAATCGCGCGTTTGAAATTCGCACAGGTAGACATAAAATAATTTTGTCGTTCAAAGTATGACGGGATACATAAGTAAAGAGTCACGTAAAATGGATATCACAAAAAACAGACTTAACAGTAAAAGTAATATTAATAAATAAAATAATATAGTGATTCAAAGTATGACGGGATACATAAATACAGAGTCACGTCAAATGTATATCACAAAAAAAAAACAGACCTAACAGTAAAAGTAATATTAATAAATAAAATAATTTTGTCGTTCAAAGTATGATGGGATTCACGTCAAATGGATACTTCAAAAAACAGACTTAACAGTAAAAGTAATAAAGACAAATAAAAGAATACTTTAACACGTTATTAAGATGATAAACCCTGGTATATTTCAGTTAAACTCTGTTTTCGATATATATATTCTTTTTGGTAAATAACTCAGTTCTTATTGAAAGTCGTTAATTATACATTATCATTATCATTCTCAGATAACAATTATTAGTACAATTTTTTATTAAACTATATAATCATTTATTTCTGGGTGGATTTAAACGTTCAAGTGCTTGCATATTACCTTCATCGACTGTAGATCCGACAATGGGACGTTTGCAATGTGCCATGTGTTGCCTTGGTTACCAGACAGGGACCATACCAGGTTTATCTGCTCAGTACCGGTAGAATTGTCAGCGATGTAGACATTGAGTGTTCCTATGGAGACACCATACATGTTATACCAGAAGGATATGCACTGACCTTTTGTCGATGATGTTGGCATAGACCATATCCTAAATGTCAATTGCTTTACATAATTACATTTGTAGAACATCACAATTCATACATTGAACTGTCTATAATACATGAAACAAAAACAATGTTTTATTGTTAGTTTTGGTTCGTTTTGTAACGAAGTTGATATTAGAGTACATCGGTTATTTTGATCTAGTCTGATGTTGTTAAGATATGACCATTTTTTTTAATTAATAGGAATCTAGAGTAAACGTCGATGAGACAACCAAAAACACATATAAGCCATTTTTGCAATCAATATTCAGATATTTTTAGTCATTGCAGTATAATCAGCACAATTTAGAATTCACGATTTACTATTTATGGCGTCAACCATTTGATGTTTTGGGGCGGGGCGTTTTTTAGTTGATGTTTTTTTTTTTATTGAATATTCAAGTCCATGAGTTGGTAGTAAGGCTTATTTGTTTCCTTTCCGCGCAAACATTTTAAATAATATTATCAATCTTGTACACAACTAGTTCCTGCATTGTCCTGCCTTTTCGCATTTCGTTTGACCAAATATTCATTTTCATTCTGTCTGGAGCAAAATAATTTATTTCCAGTTACTACCAGCCAGAATATTCATTTCCGAAACTCTTGAAAAACTAGTATACGATAGGCTAAGTGTCGTTTCATTTCAACTTGCATACATTCAAGAGAAAATTAGTTGTGTGGACCCGTGTTATTTTTATTATTATAAAAAAAACCTATAAAACGTACAATGTTAAAGACATTGATTGACTGGTAAAAATAATCAGTAATTTAGTAATAAATTTAATAATCATAAAGATATAGTTGCCAAAAATCAATGTCCGTTTAAGGGAAAAGACAATGAAAAAAAATATATAATTCTAAAGATTTGCACAACGGTACTAATATAAGATGGTAATATACGAAGATGATGTTATAAAATCGTGTTGACAAATATTTCGGCTTAACAAATTGCCTTCGTCAGTGTCAATAATTCTAAAAATATATATACATATATCACAATTATTTTATAAAAAAAGTACCTAGCGCTATCTCCCTTTCTTAAGGCAAGAGATGTTTCTATATACATGTAGTAACCTTTGGACGTGGTATGATCAGCAGACGGTCCGGTATTCAATGATGACGTCATACCAGTGTGTCTTCTCCAATCAATTTTATTGTTATTATCTTCCATGTAATTGCAGATATCGACTTTTTCAAAGTCACAGTTGATTGGTGATACTACAGATGAAGCTGTATTTGTACATTCGCTTGGTATTACTGTAAAACAATTCTAGTTATTTGAAACTTGGTTTAAGAAGAGAACCACCACAGTACAAAAAGAACCATTAAAAAGGGACATAAGCTGTCAAATTCATGATCACCGATTTACTATTTTGATTTAGAACATATTAAAACGTAACTATATCCAAATTACAAAAAGGCCCTGGATCCGCCTATGCAAGCTGCTTATTTACCCTTATCTGCCTTGTCTCTGTATCTTCTATTGACATCCTTTCTACATTTAATGTAGGGATTTGTATTTGTCTAAAACGTGTCCAATGTACGAATAGTTTGGTGAAGTGACACGTATCTATTTGACAAGAAATCTATCAATGAAAAATTCTAAAATACAAACATGTAACGGGAGCACTTGTTGACGCTGGAATAAATGGGGTTGTTGACGCCGGAATAACTGGGGTTGATGACGTTTGTGAAGGTTTTATTGTCGTCAGTGTTTGGTTAATATGACCGTTACATAGGTTATCGGAACAACATTGTAGATCAGGTTCTGCCCTCTTTCCAAATATAGAATCAATGTCCATATTACACATCTGTAAGAAAAGTATCAACAGAATAATATTGAAAATGAAAACAAGATTTCAACTTACTTCTGCATAGTTATTATTATAACTTTATTAGATTTTATAAATATTTAATAGTCAAATCTTGTGAGCATTTTATGATTGGCATAATATAATAAGAAAAAAAAGTGAAAATGTAACAAAAATCATAGCCAATTTAAAAAAAAAGAACACCATGGCCAGAGGAAAAAAAAAGAGTAGATAGACAACAAAACACTACCCAGAAAACTAAATATTGAGCAACACGAATAACACAGAAAAACCGGGGTTTCGGAAGGGTGAAGATGCTCTGTTATGTGGTATTCTGTCAAGAAATGTGGTACTGATTGAATCGACTGAAAACATTGTTCTCCCTTTCTGCTATATGGAAATGCACAATAAAGACATATTAACACTGGAAAGGTAGTGTCAAGGCGGGAATCCTAATCGTTTTCCATATATAGAAAAAAAATAAAATACCAAAAATACCAAACTCCCAAGGAAAATTCAAATCAAAAGTCTTTTATCAAATGACAAATTCAAAAGCTCAAACACATCAAACGAATGGAAAGCAACTGTCATATACCTGACTTGGTACAGGCGTTTCCTTATTAAGAAAATGATTAAACCTGGTTTTATAGCTAGATAAACCTCTCACTTGTATGGCAGTCGCATAGAATTCAATCATATTGACAACAATGTGTGAGCAAAACAAACAGACATAATAGGTACAATTGTCAAAAATTGGGGTATAGTAGTCAACATTGTGTTATAACCTTAATCACTATATAAAAACAAATAACTATTTCAATAAAGAAAAACAAAATGGCATATAGACACTCTATAGACAAAATACATAAGCAAACATGAAAGACCAGAATACAAAAAATGACCATAGAACAATAACACAATGGCGGGATGTATAAATACCCTGCCAGCCAAGTATATTACCAAAATGGACTAATCAGTAAAGGTTAAAAATATACAAAGACAAATAAAAAGAACATTTTAACACGTAATAAAGATGATAAACAACGCCAGTACCTAGAATCTATACTTCAAGACCATCATATATTATTTGTGGTGAAGTTGATACGGAATATTTATCAACAAGGTCTTCCGATGAACTGTTTTAGAAAAATGACGAGACATTCTTTGACATAACCCTGGTTCATCAACTTTCTGCTCAGACACTGATGACGTTTTATAAAGTCTGAGTAGCAGCTGCAAGCTCTTGAATACTGAATGAGTTGGGAAATGTATATCCCATATGCAGGTGAAGTTGGTATATTGCTGCTAGGTTGGAGGAAATTTATAATTTCAAAATTAAAATCGTCTCGTTTGTCATAGATTCATAGATGGTACTAAGATGACCGCTTATGTCAAATTCAAAGTCAAAGTCAAAAATGAGGCGGAGGACCACGTGTCTGCTTTTCTTTAATTTCTAGTTCTAGAGGATATATTAATGGAACCCAATCAGAAAAATTTGGATTGTTAAAGAGAAGAACATCATCAATATCTGAATGTAAAATTAAATGATCTGGCTTCTTTGATCTTCTTGTTTTTGACAAGTGTCTGAAGGAACTCCAACTCTGCATGACCCACCACCCCGTTGAAAACAATAAATGGTGCATGCCCAATATTTTCGAAGGACAATTTAGAAATATACTAGGATTTGGGAGTAGAAATCTGAACAATTTGATTGAGAAACGGGACCTGACCTCAAAAACCAAAACCTACGGTGCATTGAAAACGCCTTATCATAGAAATTCAGAATAAAGATTGCTTAGGAACAAGCATGACGATAAGGACTATATAGTTTATGATGAAAATATGCACAAGTTTCAAGATATTTAACAATTAACTATATGAAGGGTGTAGGGCATGTCCCCAGGGATTTATACCTATGGGGAACTCGAATGCACCTGTCCTAAGTCAGGAATCTAATGTTCAGTAGTTGTCGTTTGTTGATGTGGTTCATAAGTGTTTCTCGTTTCTCGTTTTTTATATAGATTAGACCGTTGGTTTTCCCGTTTGAATGGTTTTACACTAGTAATTTTTTGGGGCCCTTTATAGCTTACTGTTCGGTGTGAGCCAAGGCTCCGTGTTGAAGACCGTACTGTGACCTATAATGGTTTACTTTTATAAATTTTGAGTTGGATGGAGAGTTGTCTCATCGGCACTCATACCACATCTTCTTATATCTATTGTCTTGATAATTACGAATATATATGGTTTAGATGTGGGTTTCTAAACCGATTTTTATATATTTAACAATTTATTATATGAGGGTGGCGTAATGTTACTACTTGATTAAACTCTAATATGCACTGAAAGGGTCTTTCCATTATAATCAAGAATATGTATAGTCATTGGATCAACATGAAAACATTCTAACCATCTATTATGTCACCTAGAAGTCATCTGCAATGGTACGCAACGTATTTTTTTTCAAAGGATAAAACATATATGCTCCGGGCAAGAAAAATTCCCAATGAAAGGATTGGGTTAACTCAAGTATTAAAGCAAAACGTCTTCAGCTTTTAAATTATAACGGGATGCTTCTGATCACGAACTTATCTTAGAAACAATTTATGAGAATTTCCATTGTTTCCCAGTGTCATCAAAACAACAGACGAAAGACAATTTATTCTCAGACTTTAATGACCCAAGTCGATGTCGGTATCGATATTTTGGCTCTGTTTGTGAATGTTCGTTCAAAATCCAAACTAAACTTTTGCCGTCTTCGTATTATTAGCTTACGATTATAATTCTCACTTTTTACTTACACGCTTTTCCATACAGCCGGTGAAAATGTATTTTTCTCCATTTCTGAACTCTTCCTTCGTGAAACATAACTACAATATTGATAAAAAGAGTAAGTGTGTTTGCATAGCAAACTAAGTACCAGTATGACACAAACAAATTGATATAAAATGTCATTTTAATTTCAAGCGTTGCACGTTATCACTCTTTTGAAACTTCGGTCCTGATAACAATTGATGTATTGCCATGTTTAACGTTCCTAATATTTGTGCTTCATTTTATTGTTTTTATTTTTATCTATTTAATTTACTAGTATTCGCTTTATTCAATAAAGGTGGATTCAGATAGCTTTTGGTATAATTGGAGTGTTGTATATCAGTTAGTTTCATCTCACGGCCGGATCATATTTGACAACATCTACTATTACATGTAACTGTCTACTTGGCAATGACGTACGTATTAATGTCTACTGGATGATATACCTGTATCTTGCTATTGAGTAATAATAAACTTATAATTGAATTCAATGCGTGATTTAATTGGAATATTTTGATTATAAGTTCTGTAATGATTGTTAACCTAACCAAACAACGTTGACATAAGGCTGTTTTCTATGGAACCTCTTTGTGTGTAATTCTCACAAATGTTTAAAATGTTTCCTTCCTTCGTTTGGGTTTTAAATGTGATACAAGAAACAGATGAATTGGTCACTGAAAACGTTATCCTAAATATTGTGTCACTAGCATTAGACAGTAGTATAAACTCATTTTAATTACCTCATCCTGCTTACAGAAAGCTATTTTATGGCATGTTTCAGACTGTAAATTACCAGAACAGCGATAACACACATTTACACCAGCAGCATTATTATCTAAGGGAAAAAAGTATTAAAGTTCATGTCTTCAGAGTATTAAAAGTCATATTCGTGAGATATTCATTCGATCACTCGATCGTTTGTTTTTGTTTTTTTAATTTTAGTTGCAAGGGACAGATCATTAAGGCCTTGAAATGTTATGATCAGCACAAAATATACCTGTCACTTGCTGATATTTGTGCCATGTTGCATTCTATTGACGAGGATGTCGCGCGTCTTTCTTCGTTTCATTGAGAAAAAAAGTGATAAATAGAACACAAGACATTACACAAAAACCAAACGACTGAGAAAAATAAACCGAACCAAAAACCCGCATGAGCTAAGGTGCCCTGGAATGATAAACAGTCCCTGTTTCACTTGTGGCACTCGTCGTTTTACTCCTATTCATCACTTATGAGGTTCCTGATTGTCTTGATTGTGTTCATCAATTGCAATATACTTTCTTTCGTTTTTAAGGATTGTGTACCTTTTTGTTGTTTCAATGCTAAACATATGGAAATTTTATAGAAAATCCTCAGCCTTTTTCCTTGTACTCTAATATTTGACAATTCGTTGTTAAAAAAATAGAGGATGATTGCATGCAGTGCTAGCAATTATTTCCTTAAAACAAGTTTATAAATTAAGATATTAGTTAAAATAAATATAAATATGAACCAATTCAAGTACACCTTCTAGGGTGCGCTCGATTTTAGTGGCTCAACACGATTTGTTTTTTTAATGTAAAGTTTGCTTAGGACTTTTTGTAAACAGTAAACGCTAGCACATCATGGACAAACAAGTGAGTAATCTATGCTTAAAATATTATAACGAACATCTCTGTATTGAAGTCTGTGGTTTTTCTGCAAAAATCCTGGCTTTATTTGCCACAAAATCCCTATTTTCTATTCAATGCAATAAAACAATCAATAATATTGCTTTGAACGAAGTTTCTCTTTGGTATATGTTCAAAATGCCACATCTCTATCATTCATTATCTTTGCTGTTTTGATAGTATTGCACTTTGAACATTTCGTAATACACATGGCTACAGAAAGTGTCATAAACCTTCAGCATGGTTATTTTGTCTGAATAATTACCTGTTTCCACACATTCTTGTGTGTTACACAGATCTGTAGTACAAAATTCATTACACTTTGATGTAATAATTACCTGTTTCCCCACATCCTTTTGTGTTACAAAGATCTGTAGTACAAAATTCATAACACTGTGATGTAATAATTACCTGTTTCCCCACATCCTTGTGTGTTACACAGATCTGTAGTACAAAATGCATTAAACTGTAATGTAAAAATTACCTGTTTCCCTACATCTTTGTGCGTTACACAGATCTGTAGTACAACATTAATTACACAGTGATGTAATAATTACCTGTTTCCTTACATCCTTGTGTGTTACACAGACCTGTAGTAAAACATTAATTACACTGTGATGTAATTATTACCTGTTTCCCCATATCTTTGTGTATTACACAGATCTGTAGTGCAAAATTCATTACACTGTGATGTAATTTTTACCTGTTTTCCCACTTCTTTGTGTGTTACACATATCTGTAGTACAACATTCATTACACTGTGATGTAATTATTACCTGTTTCCCCACATCCTTGTGTTTTACACAGATATGTAGTACAACATTCATTACACTGTGATGTAAAAATTACCAGTTTCCCCACATCTTTGTGGGTTACATAGATCAGTAGTACAACATTCATTACACTGTGATGTAATTATTACCTGTTTCCCCACATCTTTGTGTGATACACATATCTGTAGTACAACATTCATTACACTGTGATGTAATTATTACCTGTTTCCCCACATCCTTGTGTTTTACACAGATCTGTAATACAACATTCATTACACTATGATGTAATTATTACCTTTTCTCCACATCCTTTTGTGTTACACAGATATGTAGTACAACATTCATTACACTGTGATGTAATTATTACCTGTTTCCCCACATCCTTATGCGTTTGGTAAACAGATCTGTAGTACAACATTCATTACACTGTGATGCATTTTTTACCTGTTTCCCCACATCCTTGTGTGTAACACAGATCTGTAGTACAACATTCATTACACTGTAATGTAATTATTACCTGTTTCCCCACATCCTTGTGTGTTACACAGATATGTAGTACAACATTCATTACACTGTGATGTAATTATAACCCGGTTCACCACATCCTTATGTGTTACACATATATGTAGTACAACATTCATTACACTGTGATGTAATTATTACCTGTTTCCCCACATCCTTGTGCGTTTGGTAAACAGATCTGTAGTACAACATTCATTACACTGTGATGTAATTATTACCCGTTTCCCCACATCCTTGTGTGTTACACAGATATGTAGAACAACATTCATTACACTGTGATGTAATTTATACCTGTTTCCCCACATCCTTGTGCGTATGGTAAACAGATCTGTAGTACAACATTCATTACACTGTGATGTAATTATTACCCGTTTCACCACATCCTTGTGTGTAACACAGATCTGTAGAACATTATTCATTACACTGTGATGTAATTATTACCCGGTTCAACACATCCTTGTGTGTTACACAGATATGTAGTACAACATTCATTACACTGTGATGTAATTATTACCTGTTTCCCAACATCCTTGTGTGTTACACAGATCAGTAGTACAACATTCATTACAATGTGATGTAATTATTACCTGTTTCCCCACATCCTTGTGTGTTACACAGATCTGTAGTACAACATTCATTACACTGTGATGTGATATTATTTGGTGGTGTATTACATATCTAAAATATAAATCCACAACTTATGATAAAAGGCTATGAATAAAAGGAGATGTATGGTATACGTATATGACACAGCTACCGAACGATACAAGAACCAAGAGAGAGACAACATACAGTCTTCAGCTAGTTTCTATACAGCATGTCAAGCTCTTAACCGTTTAGAATCAAACAAAATCTTAAATGATATACAGAAAGAGAATTTTTCTCATGGCTATTTTTTTTAAGAAATGCAGTATGAGCTTCTATATTTTTCTTCCAATTTCAATACCTAACATTAATTTTATATAACTTATTCAAATTTTCGATTTAAGTGGCAAATAACTCAGAAATTTCAGTTTGGTAGGATTTTCTTATGAAATAAAATTTCTTTATGAGCACCAAATGCACAAAAGTGATCGCATGTGTTCATTTGAATATTTGAAATACCTTCACATTTTCTTTATTTGTTATTCTTGTAATTGTGTTTTTTCGTTATATACGTTATATAATCCTTATAAAAAGAGAATACTGCCGTCTTGATTTCATATTAACAACACTGAAATAGAATCAAAATGTAAAAAAACATAATTTTGCACTTTGCAAATCTGAAGACATTTTCCTCAAATTCTAAGATCAACTTATTGGTTGGGTTCTTGTTGCTCAATCTTTAGTATAAATAAGAAGATGTGGTATGAGTGCCAATAATACAACTCTCCATCCAAGTCACGATGTATACAAAGTTATCAATTATAGGTCAAAGTTTAGGTCTTTTATTTTTAATTTGTGTTCTTTTTTTTACCGTCTGCTTCGACATTCGATTTGTATTGATCTTTTACCTTCTCGGTCCTGCATCCTATACTGTATGATACACCTCCAAAGTTATCCATTTTACCTTATCGGTCCTGCACCCTATACTGTATGATACACCTCCAAAGTTATCCATTTTACGTTCTCGGTCCTGCACCCTATACTGTATGATACACCTCCAAAGTTAGCCGTTTAACCTTCCCGGTCCTGCACCCTATACTGTATGATACACATCCAAAGTTATCCATTTTACCTTCTCGGTCCTGCACCCTATACTGTATGATAGACCTCCAAAGTTAGCCGTTAACCTTCTCGCTCCTGCATCCTATACTGTATGATACACCTCCAAAGTTATCCATTTTACCTTCTCGGTCCTGAACTCTATACTGTATGATAGACCACCCAAAGTTATCCATTTTACCTTCTCGGTCCTGCACCCTATACTGTATGATAGACCTCCAAAGTTAGCCGTTTATCCTTCTCGCTCCTGCCCCTATACTGTATGATACACCTCCAAAGTTATCCATTTTACCTTCTCAGTCCTGCACCCTATACTGTATGATAGACCTCCAAAGTAATCCATTTTACCTTCTCGGTCCTGCATCCTATACTGTATGATAGACCTCCAAAGTAATCCATTTTACCTGCTCGCTCCTGCATCCTATACTGTATGATACACCTCCAAGTTATCCATTTTAACTTCTCGGTCCTGCACACTATACTGTATGATAGACCTCCAAAGTTGTCCATTTTACCTTCTCGCTGCTGCACCCTATACTATATGATACACCTCCGAAGTTATCTATTTTACCTTCTCGGTCCTGCACCCTATATTGTATGATAGACCTCCAAAGTTAGCCGTTAACCTTCTCGCTCCTGCATCCTATACTGTATGATACACCTCCAAGTTATCCATTTTACCTTCTCGGTCCTGCACACTATACTGTATGATAGACCTCCAAAGTTATCCATTTTACCTTCTCGGTCCTGCACCCTATACTGTATGATACACCTCAAAAGTTATCCATTTTACCTTCTCGGTCCTGCACCCTATACTGTATGAAACACCTCCAAAGTTATCCATTTTACCTTCTCGGTCCTCCACACAATACTGTATGATAGACCTCCAAAGTTGTCCATTTTACCTTCTCGCTGCTGCACCCTATACTATATGATACACCTCCAAAGTTATCCGTTTTACCTTCTCGGTCCTGCACCCTATACTGTATGATAGACCTCCAAAGATATCCATTTTACCTTATCGGTCCTACACCCTATACTGTATGATAGACCTCCAAAGTTATTCATTTTACCTTCACGGTCCTGCACCCTATACTGTATGATACACCTCCAAAGTTATCCATTTTACCTTCTCGGTCCTGCACCCTATACTGTATGAAACACCTCCAAAGTAATCCATTTTACCTTCTCGCTCCTGCACCCTATACTGTATGATACACCTCCAAAGTTATCCATTTTACCTTCTCGGTCCTGCACCCTATACTGTATGAAACACCTCCAAAGTAATCCATTTTACCTTCTCGCTCCTGCACCCTATACTGTATGAAACACCTCCAAAGTTATTCATTTTACGTTCCATACCACATTTCTATACAAAAACAGAAAAAGTTTTATCAATATGGTAGGTTTCAACCATCACTTCTTTTTGAACATATTATCTCATCAGAAAGTTATAATCATATGTTGGCGATATTATTTGTAGATTTGATCTTTCAAGTTAACTGTAGTTTAGTAGGTTTTTTCATATTTTATATGACAGTTTTGGTGCTTGCTTACAGAAAAGAGAATAATGGAACAAAAACATAAAGAATATAGATAAAATTTGCTAAATAAAAAATAAGAAAAAAAAATAATTGGGTGCTAAAATAGAATCTTTCAGGAACAATGGGCACACAAATTAATAGAGAAAAAATGACTAAAAAATTCAGAATACAGATCCATCACTCCAGTATCGTCAGAAAGTTGTAGATAGTCGTATGTATAGTTACACGAACAGATTGGAGAGACGAATAACAACTATTCTTACAGTATAAATAACATGTTTGGCATAGTTATATCAAAAGGGGGCTACTAAAACCTAACTGCCTGCTAATAAGATCTGTTTTTTAAGATGCACTTCTTTATTTAAAAAAAAAAAACACATGGTTAATTGACATAATCTTGATCATGACCGAACATCTTGCAACGAATTCGATCAGTTTGATGGTAGCGTTCGATTTGAACTTGCAGTGGTGTAGGTTTTATTTTTTTTATTTTTTGTTATGAAGGCCTTCCTGTATCTATGATGTGAAAAGAAGCGGTTAAAGCACTTTTTGGGTTTCTCAAGATTGTCTTGTTCCGTGTACATCTCCATATCCACTCTTCCGCCAAATGAATATTTAAAAAATAATTGTGTGAGTGTATACAACTGTGTATTGCGTTTACAATGCAATACACATTTTCAGTTAATATATTTGCGTACCTCTCCTGACGCACATGCTCCGACATCTTCACAGAACCTTGGATGTGCAATGTCTTGACAAATCAAACAAGTGAGTCCTGGAAAATAGTTCTCGTAAAGAGAATGATAAAAAAATATATCCTTACAATGAAAAATGGAAATCTTAGTCATTAATTTAAGACCCCTTTATTTCATAAAATTGCTATTTGCCTAGATGCCTAGACGTAAACATAGCATCACACTAGATTTCAAACTGCTTTAGTGTATTCATCGGAATAAAAATATAGTGTCAAACAATAATCTCTCTCTCTCTCTCTCTCTCTCTCTCTCTCTCTCTCTCTCTCTCTCGTGATCTCGCGATCTCGCGATAACTATGGAAACAGATCGGTGGTATAGCAATACATACCTGAAGATGATGGAACAAATAAAACAGCAAATGTAATATCTGTAAATTAATATAAACACACAGAATATATAAATAGTTGAAGATTACAAGTGGCTTCATTTCAATAATTGATTCACTAAAACCAGGACACAACTGACCTGATATACATTTCTACAATACATGCTTAAAATAAGATCTGTTTATATGTTTACAATACGATCTTTTAACATGTTCACATAAAAAAAATCTTTTTACCGGTTTACGTAAACAACCTTTTTAAATGTATTCAATAAAGGCTTTTAACATATTTACAATAAAATACAGATCATAAGGAACAAATTTGTCCGCTCACCTGAACGAATAGCTACATTACCTACATGTCCGCCCATATACATGATATAGGGAAATTGGGACAATCAAAACTCACAAATAAAAAAATCGATAAAACCATGGCAAAAAAACAAACCCACGAAAAATGGCGAAGAAAAAACAACATTGTAAATTAAGATGTACTTAGGTGAAATTAAAAAAGTCTAGAATTTAAAATTGATTTTATAAGTCAGAAGAGCATTAGTTAAGGAACAAAATAAGCTAAAAATCTTGATAGGTTATGGAGCATCTTTTTGAGGTATTTAATTTTTTTTTAAATGGCGGGAAAAAAGGCTGACTAAGACTTTTTCCTTATATTTGCATATTGGTATTATTTGGGTCTCAAATCGAAATAAGAGAAATCTAGAATCTGCTTAAATTTTGGTAAATGACCTTTTATGAGCTATTGCAGTCTTATATGAAAAGAAAAATGGGTGTTATGGGGCAAAATATTTTACCCTGTATCATAGGAAAAAAGCCAAGGAGTCTGAACTTTTGACAAAAATAGATTAAAACATGTATCCTGCTAACCGAACAAATAGCCACTTTGTAAATAAGACAAAAATGACAATAATGAAAAAAGTGAAAAATCAATCTGATACGTAGTCTCCAGTATAGACATAATTATTCAGCTTCATGCAATGAATGCTATTTTTTTTTCAGTTTTAGAGCTTCTACATGTTTGTTTAAAATAAACTTCAATAGGTAGGCTTACGACCAGAAAATTAAAACACTTCTTCCTGGTCACCAACAAAAGAGAGCTAAGCAAGAAAAACAAAAACTGTTCAAAATCAGCTTTTTCTGAGCGACTTGAAACCTTAATGAACTAAAATTACTGTATTTATAAAGGGAAAACGACTTATCGAAATGTGTTATTTAATCATGCATATAACAAAGCTTTAACTAATTAACTAATGGGTTTCGGAGATGGGGGATTGGTTACATCCAAAGTTTAGTGACTGTGTAACAATAGCAATATGTTTTTTTTACTGAAACAGGTATGACAGGTATTGAAAGATGTTAAGTAAAACTGAAAGGAAAAGTAAAGACAAAATTAAACCTAATATTTTGCTGATATATAACTCACATAATAACATTGCGTGCATATGTTCCCTTTGCGTTGTCTTATATCTGTAATCAGTGATATAACTTTCCATGACCGACATTCTAAACTTAGAACATTTGCTGATTATACAGTCTTATCAATAACTTATTTTTATTATTATTTGATGATATATTGAATTTGTGTTATTTCCCTTTCCCCATATTTGGTACCGATCTTATGTGGGAAAGTTTTGCTTAAACAAAAATATTAGAATCAAATTAAACATAGGTATTTTCTGCTCAAATGATAACATAAAAATAGAGTGTGTCATCACAATGTTTTTTAGGGTGAAAAAGAGGCGATAATACCAAAGGGAAAGTCAAATTCATAGGTAAAAAAAACTGACAACGCCATAGCTAAGTTTACCTTGATTTGTCAATTTTGATTTACGAGATTTGAACATCGGTAAACTACTGTCGCCTTAATGTTTCATACTTCTTCTTTATATCATCTTTTTGGATACCACCATGGGTGACCGGGAAATAGAAATATGGTCATTTTGGTCTTTTTCTGACCGGCATTAAAACTCATGCAAAGGTAGGACGCCCGTGTGGCTGTGGGGATGTACAAGTCTGAAGCCTCGGTTATTAAGAATGGGGACATCAAATCCGATGTCTCATTCAAATAAAGTGCCACACTCTCTGCACGTTAAATGTCTGTCCCTATGCAATATACCCTCATTTTTCAGTGACAGTCCAAATTTTCCAGGCCTTATCCCGGACGGCCGCTATTACATAACCTACCTATTGTATTTATTGTTTATTTTTTTAGACTTAAACAAACATTAAAATTCTTGTCATTGGACGTTAAAAAAATAACAAACAATCAATCAATCAATCTTTTTGGACATTTGAAACAAAACGTGAAAAAGAGTTCCCTTGTAAGATATTTGACTCCAGAGGTAATCAAAGGCTATCCGAGAAATAAGCCCATAATGTACCAATTTCTAAACGCATCAATAAAGGTAATAATGAGGACAACTTGGCTTTAAACTTATTTGCTTTTACTGAGATTTCTTTCAAATGGTTTAAGTTAACAATTCAAAGTATGCCAAATGGCATATGCATATATTATAGGCGTTATTGTGTAAAGTTAATTGTAATTTGACTTTCTACAAACTTCAATGCTTTAAAACCCTAGCTAGTTCATTAATGCTTGTGCCATTTTTTCAATGTTTGAAAAAAATTTCTTTATCCTAAAATTCCGGGAAACATATACTTAATTGTGTGACGAAAATTGATATGAACTGTGCAGGGCGAGTTTCACAATTGAAATACATTTTCTAAAATATTAAGAAGTTATCCAGACTTAATATATACATCGAGCCTAGATGGTCGAGTGGTCTAGCGCGCCGGGCATAGTGCAAGACGATTTGGTGTCACGATATCTCAGTAGCATGAGTTCGAATTCCGGCCACGGAAGAACAAAAATTTGCTTCCGCAGATTTACAGATCTAACATTGTTGGGCTGTTATTTAGACGAATTATATATACAGAAAGTGTTTTCAGCCTTGTATCACTATCACTGGTGATCCGATGGATACAATCTGTCGTAGAGTTGTCACTGGTTCAGAGGTACTTATATTTGTATAATTCGTCTAAACAACAGCCCAACAATGTTAGATCTGTAAATTTGCGGAAGCAATTTTTTTTGTTCTTCCCTGGCCGGGATTCGAACTCATGCTACTGAGATATCGTGGCACCAAATCGACTTGCACTAAGCCCGACGCGCCAGACAGCTCGACCACATAGGCTCTATTATAATAAAGCTTTCGTTGGCCGGATGTTACCTATCATCGTCAGTTTTTATCTAGCATCGTAACACTATACATGATATATAAGGCATGAAGATGAAATTGTTACTGATCAGCTGAATTATCTATTGTAAAGGATCCTACAAATTAATGTAAGATGCAGTCACAGAAATAATTATATAATAAGTACGTCTGAATCAGTGACGACTCTACAACATATTTTATCCATCGGATCACCAACAGTGATAGTGATACAAGACTGAAAATACATTCTGTATATATAATTCGTCTAAACAACAGCCCAACAATGTTAGATCTGTAAATTTGCGGAAGCAAATTGTTTTTGTTCTTCCCTAGCCGGGATTCGAACTCATATATATATATATATATATATATATATATATATATATATATCCTTCCTTCTGTAGGTCTTATGCGCTAACCGTGTACATTTAATACACGGCACATGTACAGACGTTATCCTGGAGCTACGCTTGTTCCGTATTAAATTTCCTGGCTGTATATATACCACATAAAGCCTATGTAATATTTAATATGTCAATTAGCTTCTTTCTCAGATAAGACAAACATAATTTCTCTCATTTTTTTTTATAGACAAACTTGCAATTCATTTTTCACCATTTGATGACTATTAAAATTATTTTTAACAAAAATTTCACGTATTAAGCTGTAAGCTATATATTTCAGTACAAACTACAAGACCTCTTTGGAACTTTATTTGGATTATTGCAAGCGTTGTTTCGGGTTGTTTCATATTGACAACACCGATGGTGGGGGGCACTGCAATATGTCCTTACTGATTCATATTTTTACCGACAAATTATTATTTTTCTATCGACATACGGTAGACTTGATTTTTTTTCAATTTAGAGCCATACTATTTATCTTATACAGCTGCACTTTTAGTAATTCGATATTCTAACCATATGGAGGAGTAAATAAAGGCAACAGTAGTATACCGCTGTTCGAAGTTCATAAATCGATTGCGAAAAAAACAAATCCGGGTTACAAACTAAAACTGAGGGAAACACATCAAATATAAGAGGAGAACTACGATACAACAGAAACACAACATTGAAATGTAAAACACACGAACTATAATATAACAATGGCCATTTTCCTGACTTGGTACAGGACATTTTAAGAAAAACAATGGTGGGTTGAACCTGGTTTTTTTGGCTAGCCAAACCTCCCGCTTTTATGGCAATGTTAAATATAACATTAAAATGACAACATTACATGACAGGACTACAATACAAATAAATGGGAGAACAAATAGGACAGAGAAACATACGAATAATAGCTAACAAAAGGTACCAGGTTTAAAATTAAATACGCAAGACGCGCGTTTCGTCCACACAAGACTAACCAGTGACGCTCAGATCAAAAAAGTACGAAAGCCAAAACAAGTACAAAGTTGAAGAGCATTGAGGACCAAAAGTTCCAAAAAGTTGTGCCAAATACGGCTAAGGTTATATGTCTGGGATAAGACAATCCTTAGTATTTAGAATATATCATACTTTTGCAAACAGTAAATTTATAAAAATGACTATATAATAAATATACATGATAACACCGTAGTGGTGACTAACTACAGAATAAAAACGGATACATAAAACAACATAAACCAGCTCATAAAAATTCACAGCCGAGTTAGCCAAAATGATCAACGCAAAAAAAAGTGACGTCACATTTGAATTTCTGAAATTTCCCCAAAAATCGGATAGAATTAGGATAGAATTCAAGATTTAGCTTATAATATTCATATAACATAAAACTGATAATTATTTGTAGGTATTTATTGCCTATTACATTATAATACATATCACTTGTAATATTACTGTGATATCATGA